AGACCTACAGTAGTTTGTGGAGGTGAACAGGTGGAGACCTACAGTAGTTTGTGGAGGTTGGAGGTGAACAGGTCGAGACCTACAGTAGTTTGTGGAGGTTGGTAATAAACAGGTGAAGACCTACGGTAGTTTGTGGAGGTTGGAGGTGAACAGGTAAGAGACCTACGGTAGTTTGTGGAGGTTGGAGGTGATGGCTTTGAAGACTCGGTTTGTCAGGTTTTTCAGGTTGATGATGGCGATGTCGATGCGTCTCTGGACTTCAGGGTGACTGAGAGCGTCTGCAGGTGAAACCTCGTACGGCAGAGAGCTGCAGGGACACAAACAGGTGAGTCAGGTATGGAAAGCCTAACGGGTCAGAATTGTGTGTTGCTGAGACCTTCAGTCCTCCAGGTGAACCACTTTGACTGCTCACACCTACCTCTTGTGTCCAGTCTGGGTCTCGGTCTGGTTGATCCAGGTCTTGTATACGTCCACCGGGTCCGTCCTGATGCTCAGAGTTCGGTCCAGCAGGACGTCTTGCAGAGCCGGACCCAGAGACTCACGCAGGGCGTTCTGACCGCGAGCATTTCGGTAAAAGTTCACCAGCATCTTGATGACGGTGGGGTTACCTGTGACCACGTCCTGAGGCTGCTCCACCTTCAGTCTGACATCATCACACAGAGACAGGTATGTTAGTGATGACATCACAGCCATTTACAGCTACTTTAATATCATTGTTAGGGTTATTGTTATTAATCCAAACGCTCTCTGATGGGACCTCGTCAGAAATAAATCCTATATCCTTTTAAGTATGTATCGACTGTAGGATTTACTATATATAACTGACAATTATTTTCAATTAATTGATTAATCGTTTATATACATTTTATCTGATAGCAATTTCTTTCTTTTTGTTGTTTAAAAATACTTAAATGAAAAGACGTATTCATTGTATTTCCTGTTATGGCATCCCATCCCAGGTGGCTCTAGAACAGGGTTGAGTATGGCTGTGAGTTATCATGGTTTGGTCTATAAAATAATCAAATATTGGTAAAGTTAGAATAAGTTTTAATGGCGACAGTCAGTGTCTGTGTGTATCACCTGATCTCATATCGTAGCGCCTCAGTGAACAGCTGTAGCAGCAGGAAGGCCTCCCTGCGGTCCGAGCCGTAGTTAAACAGACTGAACACCAACATCTCCATGAAGGAGGTGGAGCGACTCTGAGGCATCAGGAAGATCAGCTGAGCCAGGTACAGAGGCTGAGTCTGAAACAGACACAGGCTTTAATATATGATATGCTCACAGTTCGGTACATGGTTGGTTGGACAGACGGTTTGTCTCTCCTTCATTGACTGGTGCCAGAGAGTTATCAGCTGCTGCTTGAACCACCAACATAAATACTGTATAACACAAACTGTACCTGATGAACTTCACACTAACAGCTGGAGGCTGAAGACAGCGTCACCACTCATGTGTTAACATGGACTGCTACCTTGGATCAACTCCATGTTCATAGTGAGTCATGTCCCAGGTCAACAGGTGAGTCAAAAAATTATTTGAAACGTAACTGTTGGTAAAATATGCAAACAGAGGGAGTCAGATAGAGGGAGTCAGACAGAGATAAAGGGAGTCAGATAAAGGAAGTCAGATAAAGGGAGTCAGATAGATATAAAGGGAGTCGGATAGAGGGAGTCAGATAGAGATAGAGGGAGTCAGATAGAGAGAGGGAATCAGACAGGGAGTCAGACAGAATTGAAGGGAGTCAGATAGAGGGAGTCCGACAGAATTGAAGGGAGTCAGACAGAAATAAAGCGAGTCAGATAGAGGGAGTCAGATAGATATAAAGGGAGTCGGATAGAGGGAGTCAGATAGAGGGAGTCAGATAGATATAAAGGGAGTCGGATAGAGGGAGTCAGATAGAGATAGAGGGAGTCAGACAGAGGGAGTCAGACAGAAATAAAGGGAGTCAGATAGAGGGAGTCAGATAGATATAAAGGGAGTTGGATAAAGGGAGTCGGATAGAGGGAGTCAGATAGAGATACAGGGAGTCAGATAGAGATAGAGGGAGTCGGATAGAGATAGAGGGAGTCAAGATATTCAGCGTGAATAACGTAAAGTAAACAGTAGGGATGGGTGATATGGACTAAAAAATGTATCCC